CTCCCCACTTATTCTACACCTCCAAGTCATTTCACAACGTCAGACTAGAGTCAAGCTCAACAGGGTCTCTTTCCCCGCTGATTATTCCAAGCCCGTTCCCTTGGCTGTGGGTTCGCTAGACAGTAGATAGGGACAGTGGGAATCTCATTAATCCATTCATGCGCGTCACTAGTTAGATGACGAGGCATTTGGCTACCTTAAGAGAGTCATAGTTACTCCCGCCGTTTACCCGCGCTTGGTTGAATCTCTTCACTTTGACATTCAGAGCACTGGGCAGAAATCACATACATGCTGCCCGTTTGGAGCGATACCGCTGCTACACTGGTCGCTGCATTCCGTAACCGATGTGAACGCGAAACGGCTACGGCAACAACAATCTTGTGCGATGATTTGCTAGTTTACTGGTAAACGATCACGTAGTGGTGGTGCGTGCATATGCGGAGGAGGCGAGTACTGCTACTAGTGCGATGAAAACGAGTGTGGCGACGATATCGGAGGAGACACAGCAACGAGGTGCTTGCTACCAAAGGGCCGGAGACGACAGCCATCGACAGCTTGGTGATCGACAGCAAACTGGGAGACATGACGACGACGCCGCTATCTCCGACTCAACAGCTGCTACAACTGTTGCGTGGAATCCATCGCGACGCGGCTGCTAGTGACCGTATTGTCACTGCTACTACATGTCGGTCGTGAACGCTGCCTTTGGTTCTGCTCCCTCTCCCCGCGCGTGGAAGTGGTGACAGCTGCATCATTGAAGCTTAAACGTTCATTGCCACTGCACGCAGTTGCCAACATTCTTGACGTAGTCTGTTTGATCCACGCAAAGATGTTCAAGATGAGGGTTACCGGCCATTACATGCTGATTCTAGATGAACTTCATTTTTAACTTACTAGCTCGCTCTTTCACGTCATACTCTTCTAGATTGTTTTGAGCGACCTTTCGATAAGTACAGCTTCAAGTTTGTTTGTTTTCTAGATTCTCACCAAACACACACTTTTTCGAATCCATACCACTTGCAGTGGTGTACCTGCATATCTAATACTAGGCAGGTACGATTGTACTACTCTTAGTATTTGCTGGTTTCCAACTGCAACGTAAAGAAGCTACTTGATACGAACTTCCTTCCTTGCTGCAGACTGCACCACGAAGTGTCTCTGAACTGCAACTTGCGGTTAGGAGACTCAGGTGATGATGTTCTCTCATTCTGGCATTTTTCATTTCCAAAACAGCTATCTACTTGGCACTAGCAACTTGGAATTCACTGAATGGATTGGCGCCTCGACAAGGCAGAGGTAACTAGTGTGGTGCTAATAGCGAATCTAGTTTTCTTACTGACATACACGTCTTGCAGCTACCTTTCACTGCAGGAGTTGCAGCGTCCAATGGAGAGCAGATTTACAAACCGATCGTTATAAAAGACGCGCTTGTTCATTTCAGCTGCCACCGCAGACTCAACTTTGACTCGTTGCTTCCCGTGTTTATACCAGCAAAAGATCGAGTACTGCGTCAACATTCAAACTGAGGGTGTCATGGATACAACTGCTAACATGCAAACGTTTTTTTAATTGCAGGTTTTTGAGAATGTATTCCACTCAACCAAAGACGTTGATGACTTTATTGAGATGTTGCCGGTAAAGGAAATGTACGTTATGAATGTCGACCATTCCAAGGATCCATACAGCGGCTACTACAGACATCACTTTGTGTGGATGGTACGCTGGCTGCAGCTGTGTATGGAGCTTTCAGAGGTGCGAAAGACCAGTCTTAAATTCGTATATGTTATGATGGTACTAACGCCTTTTCGTTACTACAACGTTTAGATAACTACCGAAATGATACGTGACCGAATGCAATACCTGAAAACATTTCTTGTCGAAAAAGCAGAGATGCTTGATGTCAAAATTGAAGTCGACATCCAGATGGCAGACGTTCGGAGCACCGAACAGAGAGCTCAAGCTTGGAATGAAGGTAAAATCTTGGAGAACGCATTCAGCAAAGTTAATAACTTATGGATTGCGATGAGCGAAATTGACATTCTCGCGGATCAGTTCGAATATATGGATATACGAGAGCCATGCACGTGCAGCAAGTGTGCCTACTATCGATCGCCATTGTGGGAGCAAGAGCAATCTGTCGGTTTGACATATGATGTGCTACCTCCAAGCGAACCCTACCATTGGCTAGAGAAATGGGATGAGAAAGAACGGTATTATTTGCATAAATACCTAAACTGAATGAGGCAAAGGCAACCTGTACGAGCTGTGGCTCGAATAATAATGAAAATAAACAATTTGGTTCATATACAGTGACATGAGGGCAGAGTATGATAGTCAAATTGTCGTATGATCGATCCAGAGCAGCACACAGGACAATAGTTTCAACACTCAAAACGATATTTACAATACCAGAGCGCGTGGTAACACAGCACCACACAGATCACCGCTCTACTCAGATTATTCCCACAACGCCGGTGCATTTCCACTTCGCCATACAGGGTACCTACTTGCTACTTGACTTCTGCAACTGAGGAATCAACGCTCAGCACTACGAATGTGAGGGCCTGCCTTCCAAAATCGGGTCGCACACTTGCCTCCTACAACGACTACCGACGTACGCCTCGGCGACCACATAGCGGTGCACGCATCGTGGAAGAGGCGATGATTTCGAACTGGGCGAAGAATACGAGTGTGGCGGCGATATCAGAGGAGCCGCCGCCACACTCGTATTCCTTGCCCAGTCCGGCCCCGAGATGGCGGTCATCGACAGGTTGATGATCGACACCAAGGGGGACGTCATGATGACGACAACGGCGCACCATGTGTGTTGCTGCGCCACCAGCAAACGCTTGTGTCTTGTAGCTGATGGTGCCTGCACCACGTGGCGTTGTTTACTGTCCTTGGCGTCTTTTTATGCGTTCACGATACTCTGCATAACGCATTTTTTTTGGAAATTAAACAGTGCCGAACGTGATTCCGACCAATCAGACCGTTCGAAAGATCATTGTACGAAAAATAGCAATAGCCAATTCCAACCAAAACGTACCTAAAAAGATAACTGGAGATGTCATTGTAAAACCCAGAGCATAATACTACACAAATTGGCGAACGACATGCTGTGGTAGAGATCTAACTACTACCTCCAGGATCAAAGTTAGGATTATTTTTTTTGAGGATGTGGTCTTGAAGCGCATAGCCACATAACTACTGGCTTACATTTCCTCAGGTACGCTTTTCTACGTCAAAACGGACCCGACAAAGGAGCATACGCTGTCGGGTATAACTACTGCAAGGTAATTGGTCCTCTTAGCAAAAATAGGTACTACCCATAATCGAAATAGGTAGCCATACGCGTATATTAAAGACCACTTTGCTAGCCAATCAGACTGCTAGAATCATCGGAATGCTATTTGATTGGTCAAACCGAGGACACCGGCGAAAACGTGACTTCAACATTGAAGCTCGCAATGTTTTGGCGCGAAACAAGCCGCTTTGGAGGGTCAACGATTCAAACTCGCGTGCGGGGGCGTCGAGCGCGCGCCAAGCCCCAACGAGTCTCATTCCGCAATTTCCTTTCTTGTGAACACTCGGGTTCATACCGACTGCCCCCACCCATCTCTGCTAACCCACCCGCCGCCTGACACTGACCGATGTCACTACCATTGCACGCTGCCTGACACCACCGAAATCTCTGGTGGAAATGCTGCTCGATTCCCATGCTGTCGTCACGCTGGTCCACACATAAGATGCTAACGCCGACAAGTCGCTGTCGCCACGCCGGTCCGCACGCTGTACGATGCTAACGCTACATGGGCGCCGAACGTCAGTCATACATGCTGCCCGTTTGGAGCGATACCGTTGCTACACTGGCCGCTGCATTCCCTAACCCGATGTGAACACGAAGCGTCAGCGGCAACAACAATCATGCGCGGTAGCTACTACGACGGTTTGTACACGGTGTGGCTGGTGATTAGACTGCGAATTTCCGACTGATGTCCATTGTGTTGGACCTGCAGCGATTGCTACACACGCTGCTCGTCAAACGCCAATTCATCTTGTCGGCAGGCACGGAACAGTGCGAGAGGATGTAGCCTCTTTGCTAGTCGTTGGCCACCTTGACTAATGCAAATTCGTCCCACCAGCAGCCACTTGCACCTCGCCGATGGTCTGGGAGAAAATGCAGTTCACGATGACTCGCAACCGGCCATATGGACATCTGACGCAATAATATCTTCACGTTGAGAGCTACCGAAGCGTGGTTTGTCCTCAAGCTTGCAGTGTAGTGTGGGTAGTTTTGCTTACAAAAATCTGCACCAACCAAGTATCTATAAATCCACTTCTCATTTTTTTTCATATAATCAAATTGCTGTACCGATGCGACACCGGAACTAGTGACCAGCGGTCACGTGAGCCACGTGAGCCTAACGCGTAGTCCTCTTGCTTGCCTTTGATCGGAGGAAAGGTGCCTGCATTTTGTATATCGAAGAGCTTCGCATGAGATGACCTTCGAGATTGTAGACCAGATTAGGCAGATAATATCCATGGTACTTCTGCCAGCATGACCATGACGCTTCTTGACAAAGATGTGGCTGGATGTATCGAGTGGGTAGGTGCTTTCGCACAAAGTAACGTTGTGCTTTTCGCAGTAATCTTCCGTTTGGGTTGGATTCCTGCATTTACTGCCATACGCAGTATATTCACACATTGCACGACGCTTCCATCGACTTTGATCTTGTTCTTCTTGATTTCACTGTGACATTAGCATCTTATGTCGTCGTCACATAGATTTAAATGCCGTACGCCTCTAGATCCGTCTTGCCGTCCAAGGTTGGCGCCATGGCCACCTCCGTCGTGTGGTGTGGCCGTCGATTGTTGTTATCGTGAGTCCCAGCTTGCTGTCGACGACGGTGGTGTTGACGGTCGTCATCTCCGGCGGGTCATGGACAAAAAGCACCTCGTTCGTCTGTTGCTGCCCCTCCGGAACCGACAACGCACTCGTATTCATCGCCTGGGTCGCAGTACTCGCCCTATCCGCGGGTGCACGTGCCACCGCTACGTGATCGTCGACCCGTATGTCGGTATCCTCAGTCAGTGATTCCATCCATCGACGTCTCGGTCTCGGTTCCGTAATGAGGGCAGCCTCGGGGAATCTTTACCCTATCTTTTAGATGTTAGACGCCAACAAATGATTTTCTTTGCTGAAATCACTATAGAGCGCTTCCGCTAGTATGTATCCCTCCCCCCTCGTCGAGGGCTTCGAGTGCATTCTTCGGTGTGCCACACAACACCGTAACGTAAGAGACACAATAAAATTTGAGGTGAAATTTAGACTACGCTTGCGTTCTAAGTGGTAGATATTGGTGCTTGCGACAGTTGGGTTGCCACCGTCTCAGAGAATTTCATATATCAAAATACGGTGTAATACGTTATTTAATACAATAAACGATTAGTCTATTTGACAAAACCAGGACGGATAATTTAAGAGACCCACCCACTTTTGCTAAATCATACTCTATGTATTTTTATGGAAACGAAAGGGTTAATGCAAAACCGTCGGTGAATGTGCGATTTCGAATTTAGAAATAAACCATTAGAAAAGATTAAGTGAAATTAGGCCAATTCAAACTCATATTTAAGCAGGTGACAACCAGCCGGTCTAGCATTTACAATGTTACCCCCTAATAGGAGGAAGAAACACGTCAAAAAATGGAACGCAGGCTCGACGAGTCTTTCTACTGACTCACTATCAATCCCAACCTTACGAACCGCCCACCCAAGCACCGAAGACGCCAGAAATTCAATCGATGTGTTACGCAGCGGCGGTGGTCTATTTGCTAGCAACCGAGCAAGGTGAGGTCGAGGGGAACAATGATTTGACGTCGAAAAAGGGTACGCAAAACGCTGGGTGAATGATTTTGAGTTTTATTATTTCTATTGGGTTGACTGTCACGAACTCACCTGGAAACGTGCCCACAACCTCGCCTGGACGCTGAAGGTGGATTTCGAGAAGGAGGCTATCGACTTCGTCTGGCTGTATCGGGACAATCTCTCTCCACCACTGACATTCTTCAGCCGATTAATTATGTCATTTAACTCATGATACATGTTTTGAGATTAATTTTTGCGTGTCTGCTGATTGGCCAGTTCGAGTTGGCGGATTTCGCTAATGCATCGGATTTTTTTTGTAGCGCTCTCAGCCCGTTTCTGCGTAAGTGTAGCGTAAGCGAATGGGCTGGTAAATCCGCCCTTAAAATTGGGTGTAATATCGCTAAATGTTGACTGAACTGCGACAAAAAAGCTAATGGCCCTAAAAAAAAGTTTTTTCGATCCTTCATAAAACCAATTGTCATTTTCAAGTGAGCTAGAGAGGTACCAAATACAGTAGTAGTAAAAGAAACGAATTATTTTAATAATTGGACCACTACCAAATCATTGACGGCAGACCAATTCCTAAAAGTAATCATGTTAATTCCCCCTGTTACCGACGTCGTAAGTTATGACGTAATCTAAATTGTAAGTCGTAACTTACGACTTAGAATTTTTCTTATATAGTAGCTGGCTTAGAAACGGCGACCCGATACTGAAATCAAGTTTAATTTGGGGCACCTGTAGTATAAGGCGGGAGAGGTTTTTGCTGCTCACACAAAGACAGTACGAGGGAACGGGTTCGAGTGCACCTCTCCCGCTCTCAGGCACTGTCAGCATTTGATGAGTCGCCAGAAGACTACGTGAATTCTCAGCCATTCGAGATTTTGCCGAGTGAGAAGCAAGTGAAATGCCGATCCGTTCAGCGCGAGGACGAAAGCCGCGGCTCAAGCGTCGGCGTCAGCGTCCACGCTAGATGCGCGCCTGGTATACTTCGGCCACCTGTGGCGCCAGCTGATGGCCGACGGGTGGAAGTCAAAGCCACCCACCGCACTGTCGAATGTTTAAAACCGTCAGGCAAAGCTCCTGCAGAGAGGGGAAACATGTTATATTGTACGGGCTGTTGCTGCTGTATTACTATGGGTCATTTCTAACTTGCTGTTATTATGGGTCATTTCTAGCTTGCTGTTCTCCTTCAGGCTCCGCAAATACTACAAGAGCCATTTTCTCGGACTTCTCGACCTGGCGCTCGTCAACGCGTATCTGACGCACAAGGAGGCGAGCCGTCCAGCGGTCGTGCAAAGTGTGCTTGCTATATCGAAGCGAGCTCAAAAAGACATTTCAGACGACCCATTACTGCCCGGACTGCTCCAACGGCGACGCTAAGTTTTACCTGTGTGGCAAGGCACGCAGAGGTGGCGACAGAACCTGCTTTCAAGTGTGGCATGAAGACTTCGCGTGCTGTGGCGCGCCTCCAAAACCGTCGGAGTCCGCAAGAAGGCTCGCTGTGAGATTCTCCGCGAAGACAATGAGAGTGCTGACGAGGCGGCCTATCCGTGAATGCGAAAGAGCGCCATACGATGGGTAATTCTAAGGATACTGTTGTTTGTTCATGAATAGTTGTTGCTTTTTCTTATTTTCTGTCGGTAACTCCAAAAAACGATGTATTTGCCGTTGCGACGAATAGTTATAATAATAGTTGTTTTCGTCGGCAATGGCATATCTATTTTTCCGTTGTCGACGTTAAGTTTATTTTTATTCTGACTTTTTGTTTATTTTTATGTGAGGGCCAGCCCAGCGGGAGGGCCCTCCTTAGTTTTTTCCCAGACGATGAGTGTGTTCATTGCTTCATAAATTTGACGTGCTTTACTATATGCTCTTTGTCTGTTCCTCTTTTAGCATGTCAGTCATTGAAAAGCCCCGCTCTATGTGTGCATTTGCTTGCGTTTTCCCGTATTAATTTTTATGTACACTCATACAAAGTCGTAAGTGTCGGTGTCCGTGCCGTTTGGGTCATCCTTACGTCGTATGATATACGACATAGTGTGTTAAAACCTTTGAGAACGTATACCTCCCATCGTGTTGGATAGGCGAGTGGAAGATATAACACCATACAAACGCGCTGGTAAAAGCTACGCCGTAAGTTATGACGTAAAATTAGTGGTTCACGGGCTCATTGAACGGTAACAGAGGGGTTAAATATAAAAAGTGTGTGGG